AATATTACCAACTTTGGTTTATTTGGAGCAGCTAAGCATCTTCTTCTCAGATTATGGTCAAAGACAATTCACATAGAACTATCAGTGATGTCACACATAGCTTTAACCCACCTCTGCTCTGTGGAACCTGCCCAGATGAATGCCTCTTTGAAACAACCTAATATTCCAAAACTAGGTGTTTAAGGTGAGTTTAACTGACTGTCATCTGCTAACAGATCTAGTCACATGTTGTTTAATCACGTACACAACTTATGTGTTAACTATTAAGCCAACAGTTAAGAGATAGAAACTTTAATTCGCTGAACACATCACGACTTAAATATGTGGACTCAAATTGTGGATATGCCTAGAAACTTTCATTAAATAAATATTGTCATGGTAATCGCATCTTTGGCTGATTGAATTACTTTTTCATTCTTCATTTCCTTTCTTCCTGATGTTGATGCTTTTTCCTAGGAATTTTAAAAAGAATTTACATTTATTTACATGTGAATTGATACTGTGACACATCCATATTTGGCCACGGGTTTCAACATCTTCGATATAAGTATAAAACTCGGGCAGATCTAATACGCAGAATGAAGTCGTCACTGAGTGAGTCTAAATGGTTTGACATATTCATTGTATGAGAAGATCCGCAGTTGGTTATATTGGCACATAAGCGTTATGCTATATATAAACACTGAATCTAAGTTTGAGATTTATTTTTAAACTGGTATCTAGGTCCAAGACGTCCTGTCGATTGTCTCCAACCAACTGTATCAAATATCCAGATCGCGGAGATCCTGGACCTATCACTGGTTTCAGAAGACTAAGCGTAATACACAGAACACTATGCACTGTGACAGACTCAGAACAACAGAAAACGGTGGAGCAACATGACTGTTTATTTCTCGAACGATAATGAAACATGTTTACAATGGTTGATCAGTCTCAAAGTCTGTAAATAAACGTTGATATAATGTACAACAATACTTTGGGCCATATTTCTCCAATCTTCTGCTAACCAGTACACAATTAAACAACGACAGCCTTCTTGTCTGCAACCAATATGGAGAGCAGTTTGCACAAATAGATGATTCACTACTGACCGTCATTGACAACCTAATAGCAACAAATCACACTACGCATGGGTAATGGTGAGCCATCTACCATGGTGGTCACATTTCAGACTTTACTGAAAGAATTCAGTCTGCACCAAACAATGGACTAGACCCATTACACTGTCTACTGATTAGTGTTCAGTAAAAGTATTTTTATATTCGCAAAAGCTCTCTTAACAGTAATTATTTGTGCCTAGTCTTGTAGCAAACAAAATTTTTTTATTTTTTATTGATTCCATACCGTATTTTTGGTAAAAGTATGGAATTTTCAGCATGTGATATCGATAGCTCAAATTTCACAGGCCGACCACAGATATCAGGTGTGCGTCAGCGAGGGCTTGAACCCCGGACCATATGCATGGTCCGCGAGACTCCTAACCACTATGCAACCGACTTCACATAAAGTACTGAAACGTATGTTTCTTTCTCATTTCCATTATTCAAACTGCAATTGTATTATTTTAAATGCATCGTTTGGTGTAAGTGAAAAGTTTGAAGTGATTCTTACGATTTCTGTCTAAGGTCTAGGGGCTGACCCTAATTACTCTTCACTAACCAGTAAACACAACTACTTCACTCCTACAGTAGGTTAATATTTTCTTCATTCCTTTGCGTTTAATTGGAACATAGGGTTTTGTGCTTTGAAGTTTCAGGAGTTGTGTTATTTCTATGGGTCTTTTTATAAGCGGCTAGCGTCAGATTCACTTTTCTTTTTCGGGGATTACTACTGGTTGGCAAGCTAGGTGAGGTGTAGGGGTGTGTCTTCCAGGACAACATGTATGTCTGGAGAGTATTCTATCATAAAACCCCCTAAGCTCAACAGTAGGTTAATGCAGTTTTTTGTTCAGCGAAGAAATTTCTTTTCAACGACTTCATTTTCAAGCTGTACAGTCGTATTTATATTACATAAAAAGTTATTAAGTGGGACTTAATAATTGCTCAGTCAATATACATATATAAGTGATAAGAATAAGTATAATTAAAATGTTATAGGGGGTAGAGTTGAAGTGGATGGATTACAAAATTATTAAAGATTGTTTTATAAGTGAATTGATGCCGAAAATAGCTTTAAAAAAATTGTCAAGCGTCGTCTAAAAATTTTAGAAATTAGGAGTACGATTACGATACGAATAAAGATTTGAAGTGAATTGGAATGAATTCAAGTGCTAAAATAAAATAAAACTGGAAAGAACATTACTATGACCAAGGTAAAGAAAAGGGTTTTGACAAAACGTTTTTGAACACATAATTTAGGTTCCTGTTCATGTATAGCTAAAGCTTAAGCTATGCATAAGTGAAGGAAACGTAAACATTTGGAGCGATTCGATTTTGCCATGTAGATAACTTTGAAGGATGAATCATGTGGGGTTAAATGATCAGACTCTAACAGGTGATCACAAATAGAGGACTTTGCGGTTCTACGTTCGCCTTTCATTAACTAAAATGGGGTAGTGTTCAGCTACACGTTTTCAGAGAGTACGCTTACAACGTCCAATATAATCAGCTCCACAGGAGCAGGTAAAAGAGTAAATGGACATAGATGTGCACATAAGCGGTAATCTATCCTTGAAGCATTGTCTAACCATGGTTCGGCTGATAAAAACTTGCTGTAAGTCAGCTGCAGGAAAAGTGCGTTTAATACCCCTTTATAACATTTTAATTATACTTATTCTTATCACTTATATATGTATATTGACTAAGCAATTATTAAGTCCCACTTAATAACTTTTTATGTAATATAAATACGACTTTACAGCTTGAAAATGAAATCGTTGAAAAGAAATTTCTTCGCTGAACAAAAAACTGTGTTTTTACTTATGAATACATGGGTATTTTTCGTGATTTAAAAGTAGGTTAATAGTTGAACAAATAAATCAGTAACGATATCTGCTTGTCTTCAGTAATGGGCAATGCACGATCAAATCTCATAAAAGACATCACCATCTTCAGCGTTGCAGATACGTCTTTCTGGTGAGTGTCAGTAGACACGAAACCTAGCGGTGGGTTTTCCATCTAACTCTCTCTGAACATCATATATTGCTTTCTCTCTGTTTACTGATGTCGAGCGTTTCAATTCCTACAACCCTGAGTACATCGTGTACATTATTTCGACTTAATGTACTATATTTGATTTACTCTAGTATATCCAGAAATGTGTGGACATAAATCAGACAGTTGCCGACGTTATTATATAATAGTTATGAAATTAAATACCGCTTTCCTCACCTCTATTTATTTCAGCGGAAAATGCTATAATGAATAACTACTGCAAAAGAAAAATATTTCTTTTCCTTAGTTACCAGGAGCGTTTAAAACTGTGTGATTTATAGTTTAATTTCCTTTTTTTATATAAGGCCTTCAGCACTCAGTTTCTGTTAGTATCTGCTGTTGGTATCTGTTAGTATTTTGAAAATACATCTAATCATAAAATTCTAGATACTAACAGTTTGAACAGACATGAAGGTGTGATGTTAGATGATGCAAAGGAAATCCTGATTAATAAATAAGAATGGATGTGTATCACTAATTAATAATACTTAGTTAAAGTTCCTGACTGTCTATATCTTCTTATGGAGACGTTAAGAAATATTTTACAACTGTTTATTCGCACACACGCATCCACACTCTGTTTAAAGTGTTTAACAAAAGTAGATCAATATTTGTAAGTCTGAGGTCAAATTTCGATCACAACTCGTGCAATTTTATTTATTATACTTATTAATACTTGTTTTATGAATCATGATTGAACAAAGTTTTAAAAACAAGAAATGTTCCTTTTATATATAAACCTCCGTTATGTTAATTTCGATTAATTTCCCTAAAGAAGTTGTGACCAGATTGTTGAACGAAACGTTGAAATTACTCATTCCAATCTCGCTGAGATTTTACAAATATAATTTTTTACAAAAGTGACCGCTTTTGTTTTTTGAGCTGCTATGTGAGCCTACAAGCTAACACTGTTCTGGTGATTAGTTTTTTCTGTCTTACATCTTCCCCCCACCCCTCTTTTCAACTTTGAAAGCGTATGAATTGATGATGGAAACCTAAACTAAAAACTGTAATGCTTTCATTTTGGATGCGTCAATTTTATAGTACCTCTTTTCTACTACCACTCAAACATTAAAGTATGTTATTATCATCTATTTAACCATTGTAATTTCAGGTAGTCAGTGGCAGTTGATGAGAACCTGTGAAATAGAATGATGACATCATTTTATACTACCAATTTCGTCTTACTTTCTTTATCGAAATATGAAGTTATTCTTTCCATGCATAACAAAGTGAAAATGTTGGTATAAAATAGTCCAATATTGTTGATGAAGCAGGCGAAGTAAACTGGTTGTATATAAAGAAATCTTGCTACGAAATGGTATTCACCCAAAAGAATTCTGTTGTTGTTGTTGACGGTAATTGTGTAACTTTTTGTACAAGGGTTTGAGAAAGTTTCGTATTTCAGGAATTTCTCGAGTTATCTCAACAGATTACTCATAATAATAACACTAAGTATGATATCTCTTAGTATAGCGTTTAACGTTGCTTTAAATGTGACTCGCACTGCAGCTAAATATCTTTGATATATATATATCATAAAAAGTACATGAATTTCTGAAAAATATAATGTTTATGTACAAAAATCTTCAGTATACCACGTAAAGGTGGAATGTTCAGTATAAAAGTACGTTAAAACAAAACGTACGACAAAGGCAATGGATGCTAAGCAGCATGCAATCAAAACAACCATACTATCTCTTAGATAATAATACAAGTATTTGCTTGGAAGAGGTTTGTTTTTCTTGGAAATAATGAACCAGCTAATATCCTAACATTTCAGTGTTAAAATTTTTTAGAAGTTTTACAAATCATGCTTAATAGGAAATTTTTATTTTTCTTGTAATTTTATAGTCGGGTTTGAACAGTATTACTCGAGTTGAATTCATTCATCTCTTCAATTCCATTCTCCTTGAGTGTATCTGTATTCGCATAAGTTGATGGATCGTATGGATCACATCCTCCTGATCGTTTCAGTGCTGCACCCAGTATGTTTGTTTTGTAAAGTATCCAGTTCAGTATCCAAAGCATCACCACCAAAATAGCCCACTAGTAATAGTTTTACAGAAAAAGAGAGAAAAGAAGTTTAAGAAAGGAATGAAAATTTGGTTGTTTGAATTCACTGTTTTTTATCAAACATCTTTTATATCTGAGTACACAACTTCAGCTGGATATATGTATTAATAGAACCTACTAAAAATGTAAGCAACTAGACAGAGAGGTTATATTACTATTTGCAGTGACATGAAATTGAATTATTTTGATTTTTTGATTTTTGATTTACAGCTTGATTCCACACTGTATTTTCGGTACAAGTATGGAATTTTCAGCATGGATATCGGTAGCCTAAATTTTGCAGGCCGACCATAGATATCGGGTGGAACATAATATTATTACATTAATATTAAAGAACAGACAGTGACTGGTAAGCAAAGCTTTGATGGACCGATCGACTAAGAATACAAGCTACGAGAAGGATTCAGCAGATTTTCGGAAGATCTGAAAAAATTCTAACATTCCTACGGAATATAAGAGAATGAAATTTGGTTAACCCAAGTTTCATGGACTTACATTCGATGTAACTGTGAGCAGTAAGTTGTTTTCAAAAAGTCATTATCGGTCAATAAAACAGATTTACTATTGTAATATACCTAACAACTTATATAGAATGACTTAAAATTCCTTCTCACGTATTTTTCAGTTTAGAATATATATATACTTCAAAACAGAAATTAGTTAGTAAAGAGTATTCTTATACGCTCAGACGGAGTTCACACTTAATCGTCAGAAAAGTGATAAATTACATACTACCAATCCCATTATTAAAAATCTTGATGTCATTTTCAGTTTACTGGAATCAAACACAACCCTATGAGAAAGAAGTCCACTGAACTCTGGTGAGATAATTAAAATTCTGTGTAGAAACTAATTATTTTACATTTAAAATAAACTGATGTATATAGACAAATGGCTTAGCTACATGTTCATCTACTTCACCATGAATGCATTTGAAGATAACATCTCGGACTTACTCACACCTAATATATGACTTAGATACGCTGATGACACTTTTGTTGTACTAAAACGACACCCGAACAATTCATCCCTGAGTGAAAATGAACAGTCAGTCTCCCATTATTTAGAGTCAAACATCAGTGAATCACCTTCTCTAGACTGCCTAGTTAATATGAAAGAAAATCGATATCTTAGCGCGTTCAAATTTGGGAAGAAAACACATTAAAATACTTAAACTTCGAATCAGCGCAAAAGTCCTCTCAGATGAGCAAACTCTATAACAGTAGTTGAAACGAAAACAGAAGAAATATCAAATATTATGGAAATTCTCCAGAAAAGTAGCAACCAACAGAATTTTAATCATGAAATCAATATCAACACTGAACGGCGCCTAAAACATATTCCGATGACATGTAGCTTAACAGTTGTCATTTCATGTAGATGAAATACTTCAGACGATATCAGAAGACCACTCAAATTTCCTTCAAAACATCAAACACATTGAAAAACAATCTTGTTGATACGAAAGACCGAAGTGAAACACGCAGAATGTGATGCGATGTGCGTCGGAAAAACCTTCCAAGAAATCAAGATCAAAAGAAATGAACACTGTACCACTAAGAAGTGTAATGGAGCTAGGAAAGCTTGAAAAAGCTTCAGTTATAGGTTTATATCCCATAGAACCAGGCTACAAATTTGATTTGGGCAATACTGAAGTCGACCAGAAAAATTTCAGTATTCACAAAGACATTTTATGACAAGCACTTCATATTAAATACAGTCCAGATTTTGAGAGTAGTAATACCTGATTAAGACAGAATTTGATCTGGTTCCAAGACCCATCTCATGTAGTGACAAAATCAACACAGATGTGATAAGCACTTTCAGTATGTGCATGCATTCTGTTTATATAGTACCAAACGGTTTGCATATGATTTCTTATCTTTACCAGCTGATCAACTTGACGACGCGAAAATTACTTCATAATGACGAACTTTAATTAAGTTACTGAATGTAAACCTGTAAATTCTGGCTTAATATTAATTTGAAAAAGCTATTAGCACAAAGCAGTAAAATGTCAGTGAAAACAATATCTCTTCTTTTTTTCTGGAAATACAAAACTTTCTGAATAAAAATTATCATTAAGACAATTGGTTCCATTGATAAATTTGAATAAGGCATTTAAAAGACTAATTTTGCGAGATGACATCATTTCGTAGTTTCTCTATAAACAGAACCAATATCGTTGTTCCGAAATCGTCGAAAAGAACACGTACCAAAATAGTTATTAAGACATAGAAAATCTCAATGCAATTAATCTGAATAATAATCCATCATCATCCATTTCAAAGCCCCTTATAATGTCAGGTAACAAAATCAGTATTAATGGCTGTTTCACAATTATTTTACACAACACTTATTCAAGGCTACTGAAGGTAATGGAAGCACTTTGGATTAATCACACACATCCTAAATTACGTGTAGATAAAACAATAGACTTAAGCATTTGCGTACTATGAACTACTTGGCTTATTTAAATATGATTAGTCATTAGTATGCACTTTTGCTTATATAACTTTCATGCATTTTATTTTATTATTGTGAGCCATGAAACTACTTGAGTACTACGGCGTATCCCAAATATTCATCAACCTTATTCAACAGCTGTATGACAACGGCACATGTCATGTGATTCACAACGGAAGACTCAGAGAGGCGTTTGCAGTAAACACAGGAGTCAGACAAGGGTGCTGGCTTATTATCACCAATGATATTCCTAATTGTGGTGGACTGGCTGGATTATGCATCGGACAGTGGGAAACGAGAAACGGGACAGGGATATCATGGACTGACCAACGTGAAGAACCTAGAAGACCTGGATTTCGCGCGTGGATGATTCATGTTTGATGTCACACAAAATCGAAGACTTGCAAGCGAAAACCGACCGACAAACTGGTCGAAGAAGCAGGTAGTGGAGACAGGACTCCAAGTGAACATTGACAAGACGGAGGTTATGAAAATAAACAACCGACCAACAACAACAACAACAACAACAGCAGCAGCATAAAGCACCAATCACCATCAACGGGAGGGATTTGAAAGAGGTTACTGCATTCACTTATCTAGGGAGAGAGCATTGTCTCAACTACAGCCAGTCGGAACGGACGACGATGTCAAATCGAGCGAGAATCGGGAAGGCAGGCGAGAAACACATTCATCAGCCTGAAACCAATCTGGAAATCTTCGTCACTCAACCAGCATCAACAAGAAAATTCGGTCGGATTTTCAGTACAAACGTCAAGTCAGTCAGTTCTTCTATACGGATCAGAAAGTTGGCGGGCGGGCGGGTCACAAAGAATATTTCCAACGGGCTATTGCAGACCTTCATCAGCCAACAACTGTCTTCGCTGGATCTATACTGAAGATGAGATGGCCGGACCGGGAAGAATCACCAAAAGGAAACTATGGCTGGGAACAAACAAAACAAGAACCAATCGCCAAACAACAAATATGCAGGAGAGAGTGGAGATGGATTGGACACTCGCTCGTTGAGAAGAACACTGTGTGACATCGCGCGCGCGTCAGGCCATTGCTCGAGTGGAACCATGCCGAGAGGGAAGCGGCGAGTGGGACGTTCATGGGTGGGTGACATGGAGGAGATCATGCGAAGAGGAGTTGAAAGAGTATGGACTAATATGGATGCAGGTGAAAAGTACAGCAGAAGGAAGACAGAAGCAAGTGGAGACGTGCAGTTGAAGCCCTGTGTTCCACTAGGAACCTAAAGGAATAATAATAATAATAATAATAATAATTGTGAGTCATACTAGTTAATATGGTGGAAAGTGGATATCTTAGAATGTCCAAATTCAGGAAGAAAACATCCTAACAAATATTTGGACTTCGAATCATTACACCAATCAGAGCAAAAGTTTCAATTAACTAAGTCTTCTCAGATAAGCGGACTCTATGACAGCGATTATAGAGAAACTACGAAATGATCCTATGTCGTGAAATTCGTCTTCTAAATGCCTTATTTAAAGAGCATCAGTTTCGATAATTTATTCGTCAAGTTGTGCAGTTATATATCCATAACAGTCAAAGAATAAGACAATATTTTTGATTGGACACTAGTTGCTAACTAGTTTAATGTGTCTAGTCCTTCGTTTAGTGCAGACGGAATTCTACCAGTTAAGTTTGCAATGTGACCACCATTCTAGGTGGCTCGCCATTACGATGGTTGTAGCCAATCCGCAAGAAGCCTTGGACCTAGGTCTCGTGCTAGTTAGCACTGTTCAGCAGGGCGTATCTGACTGATCGAATCCAGTCTTCACCAAAAAAAGGACTAGATACATTGCACTAGTTAACGACTAGTGTCCAATCAAAGTACTCAGTACAGTCCTACAGGAGTTCAGTCGCGAGCCTGAATAGCTCAGTGGTAACGTCTAGGACTTTAGCACTGGGTGACTCAGATTCGAATCTCAGAAGGGAAATGAGCTCCTTCGAGACTGCAGATGCGCCTTGCTGACTTGTGAGCATCAACTAGCCCGAAACCTATGTAGAAGGCTTCCTGTCAATTGTCTCCAACCATCTAATACGAATAAGACAATGTAAGCAAACAGTATTGTTTTCAATTAGATCTTCTTCAGGCTTTCTTCTAATTTACATAGCTTAATATAAAAAAAATGTAAGCAATGACGGTGAGTTTGTGAATCGAATCATAATAATATTAAGTGTTAAATGTCTCTCCTTTGGTCTAGTTAAAGAATTGTTTTTGATAACACTAATGTTTTTGATGGTGTGAAATATTCCCACATTATGAATTAAAAGTCAATCGAACGAAGAATATTCTTTTCAATCGTTTTTCTCTTCAGGTTCTTATAATTATAAAATAAAATATTTGTTGTCGTTACAATGAAGGCCAGTTATGCGGTGGATACATTTTAACGTAGAATAACAGATTAGTTGTGGGGTGTGAAAATAAATAGAATCTGAAGAGAAATTATTGAAAAGAATATTCTTCGTTCAGATTGACTAATGTTTTTGAAATAATATAAATAATTACTGTATTGAGTCATACCTTCTCTGTGTGTGTGTGTGACCTTTTGTTTCTCTGTCCCTTATTTATTATTACACTAGTACGAACGAAACTTTCACTGTCTTAATTTAACCTAGCTTATTCACTTACTGACCCATGTACACACACATACACAAATTTCTATCAAATTTTCTCTCAGTTTTTATATTATCATTCAGTCATATGTAGCCTATACTCAGTCTGAATCAAATTCAATGTGAACATTAATCATTAGTATTAAATTTATGCGTATTACCACTGTATATAGCCATGTTTTGAACAGTGCTCTGTAAACAAATTACTCATGTATATCCTTTGGAATTTTGGTGTCATTCATTTTGTCTAATTTGAAGAAAATTAATGTCAAAACCAATTGTTCTTTAACTGTTGCAGATACATAGCTCTCGAACCTGATGAATAAATCGTCGAAAAATATGTTCTTTGTTCACTAACCAGTATTTTAGAATTTATATGGGTATATATATATATATATATATATATATATATATATATATATATAACAAATTCAAGATGTGGCTCTCGTGGCCCGAGTGGTTTAACGGATGACGCTTTGGTGTTTGAAACTATGGGCACTGGGTTCGAGCCTCAGTGGGAACATCATCACTCACTGCGGAATGCAGGTACATCCATATGAGGAGTCCCAAATAGGACGAAATGGACATCGTGGATTCCGTTGCTAGTCACTATCCATCAATTAACTTCGAAATACATCATTTTATATCGGTAATTGTTTGACCAGGAAGGGAAATTTAAATGCTAACTTACTTCTAATAGTGTTGTAGATAGAGAACTCCAACTTAAGTGATACCAATAAGGATCACTCCTTACAGAATCATAAATCCACCAAACCAGTAGTGTGATTGACTGTAGCGGTACAAGAAACCTAAATGAAATACATTAAGGTACAAATTAACGTTTACTAAGGAAAATAATAAGCTAAAACTTAAGAGATCTTCTGTACTGAATGACTCTTTTCAAGTGAAGTATTCATAAATCGTGTCAAATTTTTCTCCATCATATATTTAAAATATTATGGGGAGTGCCATCTTCTCAAATTAACAAACCTGACTCAATTGTTCAACATTAAGTTTTATTATGGTATTTGAACTAGTTGAAGTATGGATGGAATAACTCAGGCTCCAGAGCAAGACATTTGAACGCATTAGATTGATTCTTTTACGTGATGTATAAGAAAACAAGTTTCAGGATTTCATCATGAGCTGACATTAGTTGGAGAACCATTGGAAAACCTGGGAGTCCCAAACTAGGACAAAACAGCTGTCCAGTACTCCCAGGTTTTCCATTGGTTCTCCAACTAATGTCAGCTCATGATGAAATCCTGAAACCAATCAAATCCCTACAAACCAACACTTGAAAAAGAAGTTTCAATGAAAGTCACCTATGCCTTGTTGAGCATTAACTTAAAGTTTTGTCCCCTGATTATGAACTCATCTAATACTGTATTGATCACACATATTAATGGTCAATTGGTTTACTGACTGTAATATATTAATTTAGCGACCCAGGTTTTACAATTTTAAAATGCTTACAAGCGAAGCTGTTGTTCTTATTTCCAGACTTCTTAATATTTCAAAATATTTTAGGATTCTTAATAAGTTCAAAAGCATAGTAATGATCAAAATATTTGATTAATTCAATTAAAATTTTGAAATTTTGCTATAACTATGCTTCCTTTACTGTATATGTGATTTTATCCAGTAGCACTGAACTTACTTCATATTTTTTTTATTTTTTGATTACAGCTTGATTCCACATTGTATCTTTGGTACAAGTATGGAATTTCAGCATGTGATATCGGTAGCCCAAATTCTGCAAGCCGACCATAGATATCAGGTGTGCGTCGTCAGGGAATCGAACCTCGGACCATGTTCATGGTCGGCGAGAGTGCTAACCACTGTGCCACCGACGCTAATCTCAAATAATTGGCTAAGTAGTCTTTGCACTACATTTAAGGGTTTCTAAGACTGGCAACGACAAACAAATATGCTTCACATCACAAGGTGTGGACATTGATAAACTCTGATGAAACTCACGCAATTATAGGTATCCAGGCTACTGATAAATGACAATCATTCAACCCATAGTCATTTATCAGCACACGTAAATAACGATTCGGCCCATAAATAATGACAACTAGACAGAACAGGAAACCAGATACGATCAGACCATAGCCCCATGTATTGTCCTGAGATAAAAGAGAAAAAAACATTAATGATTGTATATTTGACTTATATTATAGTGCCTTTTAAAATTTTCTCAAAAAAAAAATAAACAGCAGTAATGATACTTACTTGATTTGTGAGAAAATTCAGACTGATTGCTGAGGGTAGCCCAACAAGCATGGAAGCAATCAAAGCAATAGCAACTGCAAGCCGATGAGGAACTACAGGGAAGCAATATTAATGAACACAAAAACGTTAAGGAAGGTTAGTATTCATTCACTCAGACAATTTAAAAGCATTTAATGTTGTTCGAGAAAATTTATTTTCCAATAATATAACAGTTTGTTGTAAATTTAAATAACTGTCTTGCGGTGTAATTCAGGTTGTAAGCTGGAAAAATAAGAGACTAAAATCCTATGAAATCATATTATCTATATAGGATTCATTTGTGACAAGGGGATGTCATTTTGTGAAATGAGAGCCAACCTTCAAAGATTTAATTTTTATTTTAATAATGATTACAACGTATTTTTTGTACAAGTATGGAATTTTCAGCATGTGATATCGGTAGCCCAAATTTTGCAGGCCAACCATAGATATCAGGTGTGCGTCGGCAGGGAATCGAACCTCGGACCATGTGCATGGTCGGCGAGAGTCCTAACCACTATGCCCCCGACGCACTGGTTGGTGACTAGCAGTAACTAGCGGCACATCTTGGATTCCACTGCTAGTCACCATCAACCATTTAAATACTAATTAAATGCCCAGACATCGTCGAAGCATCTGCACAAAAAGCCGACATGTCAACCTGAGAGCGAGCACTTCGGTCCAATCAATCGACGGGAAAATCTCAAATTTAATTAAACCTTCAAATAGTTGAGTATTAATTATCTGAGAAGTAGGAATTTATTGTGGAGAATAAAGCAACTGAGGAGAAATCATTTTCGTCGGGTATACAGGTATACCAAAACTGATGGATAGAGAAAAACATAAAATTTTCAAGTATTGGTTTTTGTAGGGAACAAAAAACATAAAATGTAGATTTCCAGCAAATTTAATGATTGTATCAAACTACTAATCTTAACAGACCTATTTAATTCCAAAAATATATGATAGTTGTGTAATTTCAGATGAATGTTGACATCCAAAATTGGTATGAGATAAAATGGAACTTTATTTTACAGTCAAAACTGAACTCACCATTAAATTCTTTCATCGAGAGGACGTATACCTGAGTTAATGATAGTAATGAACTGATTCCAGCAAATACAAGACATAAGAAAAACAAAGCACACAAAACGCGACCAAATATACCAACTTTCGAGAATAATACAGGTATCCTGAAATGAAAATATAGAATGTTATATATATATAAACTGAAATATACAAAACCTGCATTGGTTAACTATTCTCTTAAATGAGTTGATCACGGATTGATATCAGTCTGAGAAGCATTGAAAAGTAGGGTGTACTGAACAGCTGGTGTTTCATCCTAGTTTGGGAATCATCGGCAGTACGCACCAGCTGGGATTGAAACCCAGGACCTTCCGGTTACAAGACAACCTCGTATACTATTCAACCACTGGGTGCGTACTGCCGATGATTCCCAAACTAGGATGAAACACCAGCTGTCCAGTACTCCCTGGTTTTCAATGGTTCTCTAACTGATATCAATCCGTGATCAACTCGTAAAAACATATCTAACCCTTACAAACCAAACTATAGAAAATATTTTAAATGACTTAAAACTTTAGTTGGGTTTGTCCTGCTTCATTAAGCATCGTACGAATTTAAACTTCTATATAATCCTAAATCTACTGGCTAATCAAGTTAATTCAGACCGCAGTTGAATACGGATTTTCTTAATGTTCTAGTTACAGTCGAAGCCTAGCTGAAACACACTACATTCACTATTAATACTTTTATAGTTCACATTTTTAGGGTGTAAACTTCAGTTTTCCCAAGTTTCGAAACTAGTCCGTGAAGAAAATATCCAATCAAGTTGCTCAAATGAGTCTATTATGTTTTTTTTATACAATCAGTAATTCTACACGCTAGGGTGAAACTAATTGATAAATTTAATTTGCACCTTAAAATCAAGGTGAAATTTAGATTTGCTTGCTTTCGTTTTCTTTTGTTTCGAGTTTGAGACAAAGAGAAAAAGTATAGCATTGTATAAAAAATTCAAACAAAACCTGCTGAGATATCGTTACTTTGTTAAAAAAACAAACAAAGATATAGGAGTCTTACCAGGTAAATGTAAGTCCTGTACTTCCGGGGCCAGAAGTTTTCATAATCCTTACAATAGCTGAACGAGTGGCTGTCGGAGTCGTCTGTATGATGGTTGAAAATACAGTCGAGAAAATTGTAATGGATGCAAAAAAGCTGAATGAAAGCAAAAAAAAGTGGTTTTAGTTTTTAAAAATGAACCGTTTGTAGTATTAGTAATCAAAGCGTGTTACTTATCTTAATAAATAGTTATGAATAGCTTATCTTTATCTTATATGAACCGTAAAACTCAATAAATTTTCACTCTACTAAAGAATGATATAAGAGAAACTGAAAAGTACAACTGCTAATAAGATTTATTCTTTGACATTTATTACTGAATGGCTCTCTACTGCCAGTATGCTTTGCATGTATTGAAATTGATTTAAATGATGATCACTGTCAATGATTCGGTGGAAATTTCAGTGACAGGAATATATAAAAGATTCAGATTGCGTGATTATCATACCTTACAACGTTGTTTACAATAGGGATGAGAAAACTGTACGAAACGATTCTGGAGTCTCGTGCCATAAAAGTGGAGTAGGTTGCCAAAACAGCCATTCCAGCATTGGTATCGAATGCGTTCTGTCCAGCTGCAGCAATCCATAGACTAGGATCTTTAAGACTGCCTGTAATCGCGAAATAAATTGTATTCCACATATTAATCAATATTCAAAAGCATCAAAGTCAACATACACATTTTCTGTGAAGATATCTTTGCTTAGTAATAGCACATCATATATCAATAAAAAAGAAATATGTACTTTTATTTGACCTATACTGTTATTTTTTATATTAAAACTAGTGGTTCAGTGAGTAGGTAATCACTATTTTATCGACTTCTGTTAGGATCAAATATCAACAAGATATCAAAAATTTGTGCATTATCTATGAATTGGATTCAAACTGTTTAATGCTGAGCCTGACATTTTGAGTTGCTCACATAGAAATTGACACCTTGGAGGACAGCTTGAATTATGCTGACGAGTAGGCGGTCAAATCATAACCAATACAGTCACGTTGCATCAGACTGTTTCTGGAATAAAGCGAAATTGTTATTATTATTATTGTTATTATTCATTGAGAGGTAGAATGCTTGCCAGCCAGGAACATGGTCCAAGGTTTGATCCTCAGCCGACACACTCCTAAACGTCACTAAGCCGATACTAAGGCCGGTAAAGATGAAGAGTTTGACGTGGGGCCAGCAAATCCACGCCATGAAAAAATAAAACCATTGCTATCGAAAGTTCAAAGCTCTAGCCTGAAGCCCTAGTATTCACTCGGAACGTAAAGGAATACAATTTTTGAAAAACGAGATTTACACAAATATAATTTTAAATATGTTTAATAGTCTCACTAAACTTATTAGTACTACAGAGACAAGAAATTTTTTTGACTAAATTAGAAACTCAGAGTCATTCAAATTATTGTCTTTGATTAAAGTCATCCAAAATGCAAATAAAAGGGGTTGATGAGGATTATTTCCTCTTCAGTTGCTCTGAATTGCAGAATAAGTCGAAAGCTTTAAATTACATTAACAACCAGTGAAATTACTCACTCCATGATGGTGTAAAAAGAAACGAAATCCCAACCTCCGCATATTGTCTTGTTAATGACCAACCAAATGTAAAAATCACAATTGATAAAAGAAGAGGAACTAAAACCATGTTGGCTTTCTCAATCCATTTGATTCCACCAGCTAGACAGATACCACTGAGTGTGACTGCAAGAATTTGCGTGAATACTGGCCAGTAAGTCTCCTAAATACAAATGTCAAATACAAAAAACTGCTAAACTTGCTAAGAAAAATAGTTAATTCATAACTGTTATACAGCTTATATCAGCAGCTTGAAAGTACAGCATTAGATTAAATCAAACATTTAAATTCACGAAGCAATATCAGCATAAATGTAAATATTGAATATTTGGAATAGAATCAATCATAATTTTGTGTTTTACAGATAAAAAAGTACTATACCCAAAGTTGTATTAACCCACCGGAAATACGACAGAGTGAAACTACATTAGCATTTCATTAGATCAGAATCGATGGCTCAGTAATGCAATTCGCACTCGTGCAGGCAAACTGCATAGTCTTCAGGATGTTTAGGTAGCAGTTTTAGTAACAGATTATAATTCTAGCTTAAAATGTCTTAATATCTGTTCCTTTTAGTCTGCACATAAACTACAATTGGGTGTCATAGTAATATATAGGAGTCTGTTGCGTACAACGGTTGAAAGTCTAATGAATGTTGTTCACTGCCTGTCACCAGCCTTCAAAAGTTGTAAGTGCGTCGGTGGCACAGTGGTTAGGACTCTCGCCGACCATGCACACGGTCCGGGGTTCGAACCCCGCAGACGCACACCTGTTATCTATGGTCGACCTGCAAAATTTGGGCTACCGATATCACATGCTGAAAATTCCATACTTGTACCAAACATACGTTGTGGAATCAAGCTATAATCAAGAAATAAAAAAGTACATAGCACTGCAAAGGTAAATATGTTGAACAGGGGATACAAAGTAATCGCCTAAGAATATTCAACGATATTTATTTTTTTTCTGATTACAGCTTGATTCCACACAGTATTTTTTGGTACAGGTATGGAATTTTCGGCATGTGATATCGGTAGCCCAAATTTTGTAGGCCGACCATAGATATCAGGTGTGCGTCTGTAGAGGATCAAACTCCAGACCGTGTGCATGGCCGGTGAGAGTCCTAACCACTGTGCCATCGACGAACATCAGTCTTCCTGCATAAATTGTTAGGTATCTCTATAACAGGAAGTTAATCCTTTCCTTAGACTTCTTCAGTGATATGCGATATCTTTGTCACTTATTAGACATAAACACATAATCTTCACAATACAGCAATAGAGATCGCTGGGATACATTTTTTTCCAGTTCGAATGTAAATGAATGATTTTATTGAATTGACAATATGAGAGTGATGTTGAAGCCTACTATCGAAATGCACCAGTTTAAGTGAGCTCTAATAGTATAAAAGTGAAAATGAAGCATCTCAGATGTATTAGGTCAGTAGCACGGAAGTAAGGAGATACAGTTTTATGTGTTTGACCTTAGAGTCTTGAGAATGCCAAGTGTCGAGTGATTCACAAGGGAAACTCAGAGGGAGGTCTGTAGTGAACAAAGACAAGTGAAGAGTAAGACAAGGCTGCCTATTATGAACCGATGATATTTCTAAGTGTGGTGGATTGGATTATGTGGAAGACTGCGCCTGGCAGTGAGGAGACAGGAATACGTTGAACCAAGTGAGATAAATCCAGAAGCAATGGACATCGCCAACGATTCATATCTTTCATATAAATTCGAAGACTTTCAGACTGAAACCAAAAAAACTGGCAGAAGAAGCAGGCAGAAAAGACGAAACTTCAAGTGAGTGTAGAGAGGATTGAAGTGATTAAGATAACCAACGAACCTTAAAAACAAAGACCAGTACTAATCACCATCAACGGGGGAGATTTGACAGAGGTTACCTCCTTCACTTATCTAGGCAACATCGTTTCAACCACAGGCGAACAGCACTGTGAAAGATGTCAGAGTCAGAATGGGAAAGAAAAGATACACTTTCATCAATCTGAAATCTGTTTGGAAATATCCTGTACTCAACCATCATCAAGAACAAGATTCGGATTTTCAACACCAGTGTCAAGTCAGTCAGTCAGTCAGTCAGCTGTTCTGTATGGGTCAGAAACTTGGCCTGCGGGTCACGAAAAGGATTCCCAACAGGCTACGACGGACTTTTATGAACAGCTGCCTTCGCTAGCTCCATATTGAAGATCAAATGACTGAACTGAAGGAATTAGCAAAAAATAAACTATGGGAACAAAGCAACAGGCGAGAGCCGATCTCTCAACAAATATGTAGTAGAAAATGGTGTTGGATTTAACACACACTGAAGAGACTGTCGAATGAAATCGCGCACAATGTAGGCCATCGCTCTATTAGAATCCAAATGGGAAGCGACAAGTGGGTCTTTCTGAGATGGCATGGAGAAGATCGTGTGAGGAGTATATGAAAGCTTATCGACAAACATGGGGCCAACTGAAAAGGGCTACAGAGAGTGGGACAAAGTGAAGATGTGCTGGTGAAGCTGAATGTCATACTCAAAACCCAAAAGGACTAATAATAACTCTGAACCCTGCTGTCTAGATACAACTATTAGACATCATTCATAATCAAAGACTAGCAATACTTATTCACCGTAACTACTGGATCGAAGGGTAAACTCCAATATTCTGAAATTAGGTGAATTATGTTTGCTTTTATGGATAAAATATTCGATTTCTTCTTTACTTTAACTATTAGTTGAATTTTATTGAAAAAAACGTCCATACCTGTGTATAATTGATGAATATTTGCAAACCCTCTGCTTCTGTTGATGGTAAGGATGAAACCGAACATGATATATAGAGATAGTATATACACCAGCCAAGTACTACTGGATAGTAACCACTAAACAGTTTAACAAAAGAAAAATCCATGAACAAAACCAGTGTAGTTTAGGTAGGTAGAATGATTAGATCGGTATCACATCTAATCCTTGCGAAACAAAATTAAAAACTAAAAATTGATGAAATCAAAGAATGCAGACTTCTAGCATACTCATATTAGTACGCTAAAATTAGGAGACAAAAATAGAGGTAATGAACTACAAAATAACTACATAAATAAGAATTTTCAAATTAATCTGATGCTCACTAACGACTGGCCCTATTCAGGCAGTTAACCTGGGGTTCTAGTGGGAAGCCGTGACCAGTAGGGTACATCAGGTCGAAGATGAGGCAGTAACTCATTGAAGAAGACATTGCGAAATGATTGCGCAGAAGTCAGAATTCAAGGACCATTGGATCGGGTCCCAGTGGCTCAATGGTCTACGAGCTCGCCTTGTAACCAGAAGGTCCTGGGTTCCAGCCTTAGTGGGTGCGTGCTGGTGAAGGGTCCCAAACTAGGATGAAACAGCTGTCCAGTACTCCCTATTCTCTAACTGATTTCAGATCATGATGAGATCCTCCATACAATTAAATAACAATTGGCGACAACCTTCGCATTCCCTGTAGCTCCCTTTATAATCCCTTCGAACTATTGTTTACTGATTAGATTTCTCGCTACTCGACATTCATTCATAAAAAGTGCTATTCAAGAAACTGAAAAGAATTATTTTGCAGTAGGAACTTGAAACTAGCAACAAACGTTAATTTGAGTCCATTCATCGAATTCCTGTAGAACCCATAAGCTAAATACTCTACATTTGGAATGTTGAGTGGATATATGACCAATAAATAAACCACAGTGAATCAGTCATAACAAAACGAGAGGTGAAAATGCCATACAAGTGGGGTTAGATAGGTCGAGTGTAATTGGTGTATGACAGACTGGATACTTAGATTTGAATAAATGGCACTTCACTTACATCACTGAAATAAATAATTAGTTACCGAGGAAGACAATCAAACATATGGGGATTTGCATAATAAATTACGGTGATAATCATAATAGTAGCAGAATGAGTTACGATAATGATACCAGTAAAATATACCGTTGAACAGGATAAGAGTAATGATAGCAGTAGATTTGACAATACAGTAATAACAACAGTTATAGTAGATTCAAAGTGACCGCCATTTCCTGCTGTACACAGATACCATGTTTATAGACCGTAATTCCACAAGTCTCTGTATGTTTGTAAATGACCTGATGGCATCAAAATTATGTCCAGAGTCGACGAGATGCTTTGTTATGGCACTCTTTGGTATCTTGACTGCAGTTTTTCCAACCACTTGGGTAAACGCTTGACAGTGACCCTTACATAAGAACTATGTATTTACTTCCACATGTACTGTGGAATTAATATACACAACGTGTCCCATATTTTTGGAACACCAGCATTTTAGTATTTACCAAATAACGTATATAGCGACATGCATACAGTGTTTATCTGAAGAGTTTTACAGAAATTTAACGAATCTATTAATTCATTTGTTGCTTGATGTAAAAGAACCTTGTGTTCAGAAATTCTAGCATGTGCCAATAGTTATCAAAATCGACGAGGTTACAATAAATCTTTTTAGATTAGAATAATTTTTATATAGAGTCAGATAAAATATGTGGTTTGGACAAGCGATGATAATTAATGTACCCGTCAACTTTACATGATGACCACAGCGTATATTTGAAGTTTTCAATCCAGCCACTAAACTAAGCAAGTAAACAGTGGACATACGTAAGAAATGGAAATGAATTTGACTTATGCTGAGGAGATAGTTGAATGACTTCACGTGTTAGGCTGTCAAGTGGAAGCTAGACGGGAAGCAGTAACTTTCACAATTGGGGGTAATATGGAGGAGATCATCTGGAGAAGCAAATTAAGCACTTGGATTTTGGTAGAGTCAGCTATAAAAGACTGTAGAGGACAGAGTGAAATGGAGACCTGCTGCTTAAGCTGAACGTCTTACTAGGAACCCAAGAGAACAACAATAGCAATGAGCGATAAGCAGCTACTTTTACCCAGTTTATAATTCCTTAATAGTGAACACCCACCCCTTATTTACCCAAGATGGAATTTAGAGCCTTTATATCACAAGTTAACAGTGGTTAGAATTCGTCAACTGTCATAGTAACCAGGTAGTTGGTCAATTTTCTGGCTAAACGGTTCTAAATCGAGAAGAAACGATTTTCCGATGTGCCTTGGATCCTAATGATTCGTTAAAAGACGTAAGTTTGCAGTGAAAGTCAATGAAGTTAAACGAATTATACACTTAATTCTAAACAGGCTTTTAGTTTGAATCTGTGTTGTGTTTATATGCTTAACGTATCCAAAAGAAGAGGAGGTCAGCTACTTCAGCGTATTTCATATTTTTGAATCAATGATTGTAAACAACTAAAAACTCCATGGCAGTTTTGCATTTTTCTCAGCTATTTCGCTATAACTGTGAAGTTTAAACGGGTGAAGAATTTTCCTAGTATCAAGTTTATATTAAAATTTACGGCAGTCTGTTAAACAGCCAGGAAGAAAAAATATACATAAAGCACGTCGTATCCTTAAGTAATACAATAAAGGATAGTTGAAGCGGCTGTACTACTTTATTAATTTTGCTTAAGATCGCAATGAGTTGATCTTAATACAGTAAGCAGACGAAGACAATTTACGCGACTTATGACTTGAATTTATAATGGTAAACTTATCGTCTTTTAAACCTAGAAAATGGAATGCACAGTAGCACTTTTATGTTTAGATTAAGATTTCTATTTTCTAAGTTTTGTTGATTAAAATATTATTAAGGTGACACAGTTTCTTTTACACTAATTAACCAGCATGCTGAATGAAAAAAACAACTCAGAAATGCTACTGTCTTATGGCCTTCACTTTGTTTTAATAAATGCAAACTATTCTCAGAATTATTTTCTAATAAAATATACCGCAAACAAATAAACTGACCTTAAGAAGAAGACGACTGAAACCATCCAACCTCCTAACCAGAAAGATTTCTGGCCAAAAAATTTACAAAATGCTAATGTGACTGAGTTTCTTGTGAATCGCCCGATTGAATATTCCACCAGAATAATCGGTATAGACCAGAGGAATAAAATGAGCAACCAGACAATATAAAACGTCAAAGCTCCTAAAGTTTACATGGAAGTAAGACAAGAAACGCAAAATTCGAAAGAAGTTACAATAATTTTAATAAATTTGCAATTATTTCTCACTAGACTGAAATTACAATTACATTTTTAGTGAACTGTGACAGAAGTAACATTTTCTGACATGTTCTGTGCATTGTTTAGAAAAATAGATAAACTACGATTGTCCTGTGCTGCTTAACACACTGCATAATTTTACTTATCAGTGTGATTTCATATTTCACTCTTTGGTACAATAAATTTAAATGGGACGTGCTCACTAAATGAATATTCATCCGATATCTTCCTTAATCTAGGAGAGAATTTCTTGTGAGAACTGTAAATCGCGATAGTTCTTCCTTCTTTTTGAAATGAATGTACACAATTGGAATGTTGTGATCATATGTTTTGCATGTCAGGAAACTAAGAGTATAGTAAATAGAAAAAGAGATTGCCAACTCTATAAATATTGAGTATTTTCATACTGGAACACAACAACAGTCCGGCTATCTGTAGTCCTTTCTTCTATTATTATTATTACTCTACCTTATTTCTATTCGTGTGGAAACAGAATGAATCCTTAAAACCAAACAATTACGTACTGACATTTGTTAATTCCACATTAAACTAGTAAACGCATATTCAGCTATGAAAAGATTTTAAAATCTTCTCTGACGGTTTCACTTGCGTTCAGCACTTACTTGTTACTCAGTAGATATTTCTTCAACTAATTAAGTGGAAAAAAACCAACACTTGCTACTTTATCACTTACCTCTATCATAACTTTGTGATGCCAGAATTCGTGGAAATCGCCAGATATTTCCTGTCCCCACTGCACTTCCAAGACAAGAAATGATTCCTCCTAATGCGGATTGAAACATAGATTTCTGTGCAGTAACTCGTAGCTTTACTGGCGCCATGCCAGGTTCAGAGGAATCCTTTGAACAGGACTAGAAATAAAAAGGTATATTATATATATATTACTTAGAAAATAATGTTTTAAGCTAATGCAGTTCATCTAGTTTTCAACATCTGTTTGACTGTGAGAACGCAATTAATAATAATTATATCATACTGAATTATTTCTTAAGAATTAGGTATACATAAGTTGACTTCATTTAGATAAACAAAATAAGGGGAATGATGGCAAATGTCATATAAAATCACAAGAATTCGGTATAATTACACTTCAGTGAATAAGAGATAAACAAGAAGGTAACAAAAGTGAATCTATATAAAATATCATTTACTTTTCGCCTCACTGTGTTGAGTGGCTGAGTGGCTTTAAATGACAATTTATTCAATATATATAAATGAGATTATTTGCACTTATACTTTCGAATAAGTTATCCTTTTGTTATTAATTGCGTTGAAGGTATTCTGTTTAGGCAGCACACAAAGTTGCAAGATAATTTTTTCCAAAACAACTTATTACAGTAGTCTTATCTTTCAGGTACATGCTAACTAATTATATATCACGAAAAGTCATTATTCTATTTTGAGTAAATTTTATTATGTCAAACATTTAGTTCACATTTAGATGACCAGAATATAGATTTAAAAATATATATTTATATAATTTGTCTAAATATTCATATGGTTTTTGTATCTGATTGAAGTGCATCATAATTTCAGTGATCAACAGTCTCAATTTATCTCTTAAAAACATTTTATTTACAAAGAACTCAGATTGCCTAGTCCAATTGGTTCTAACAACAAGACAGTATGAACAGTCTCTACTGGTTTTATCAAATTAACCCTAATCAAGAAAACGTAAGTCTCACTTTGACTAGTTGTAGAGATAACAAAATGAAATTATATACAAGCAAAAACAGACACTAAAGAAGATTTAAACTCACATCCTAAAAATTGGTTAATTAAATGATCACACAATAATGATATAATACTCAGAAGGATAGTCTATTAACCTTTAAATATAACAATACGATGCATTAAAAGAGTTATTATCATTTGCAAATATTCACTCTCGTGTTTCTTACACACTGACATAAGTGAGTATCGCTCTAACAGAAATCCAAACCTAATCAAAGTAAGCTTATTAAGTGATAACGTGTTTTGATGAGTCAGATAATGTGATAAAGTCCTTCAGTATTGTAAAAGATACATGTAAATATATAAATAATACTTTGTGTAACAGTTTTACATTATCTTACTTGAAGACTATCACCACTGACAACAATTTGGTCTACATTTCCGTTTTTCTGCGTATCCAACACGTCTATAAGCTCTAGTGATTTTTCCATTGACAAACAAGATCTGTTAGCAGAATACAGGCCACTTTTATAGAAAAGTATTAACCAATAATTTTCTTGCACACTATCTTATTGGTTCATTTATTTATTTCTTTTTTTTTTTAAATGACCTATGACATTTTTAAAAAGTAATTACATCATTGTGAATTTGATTTGGTCGGACTGACAAAATAAGCGAACATTAAAAACAAAAATCTTGCAAATTCATTTTATTGTTTTGATAACGACTATTTTTTATAGAAAGGTATTTAGTGTGTGAGCTAGTGCCAGTGTACTATGGTGAAGGGTGATGGATTGCTCAAACCAAAATTTAGGTTTCGTTTGTTCATCAAAAGATTTCTAAACTTTCCCTTCAACTCAACAGAACAGTACTGATGAGAGAAAACAAAGCCTTTGAAGGAAATTATTTTAACTACCTGAGTTTTCTTTACTTGACTTTTATTATTAATATTGTTCCCTTGGGTTCCTAGTGGAACACAGGGCTTCAACTGCACATCTACACTTGCTTCTGTCTTCCTTCTGCCGTACTTTTCACCTGCATCCATCTTAGTCTATACTGTTTCAACTCCTCTTCACATGATCTCCTCCATGTCACCCTTCCACTGACGTCCCACTCGCCGCTTCCATTTTGGGTTCCACTCGAGCAATGGCCTGAAGCGCACGCAATGTCACCCAGCGGTCTCCTCAGTGAGTGAGTGTCCAATCCATCTTCACTTTCTCCTGCATATTTGTTGGTTGGCGATAGGTTCTTGTTGGTGATTCTTTCCGGCCCGGCCATCTCATCTTCAGTATAGAGCCAGCGAAGACAGTTGTTGGCTGATGAAGGTCTGCAATAGCCTGTTGGAAATATTCTTTGTGACCCGCCCGCCCGCCAACTTTCTGATCCGTATTGAAGAACTGACTGACTTGACGTTTGTATTGAAAATCCAACCGACTTTTGTTGTTGGTACTGATTGAGTGACGAAGATTTCCAGATTGGTTTCAGGTTGATGAATGTGTTTCTCGCCTGCATTCCCGATTCTCGCTCGATTTGACATCGTCGTCCGTTCCGACTGGCTGTAGTTGAGACAACGCTCTCTCCCTAGATAAGTGAATGCAGTAACCTCTTTCAAATCCCTCCCGTTGATGGTGATTGGCGCTTTATGTTGCTGCTACTGTTGTTGTTGTTGGTCGGTTGTTTATTTTCATAACCTCCGTCTTGTCAATGTTCACTTGGAGTCCTGTCTTCACTACCTGCTTCTTCGACCAGTTTGTCGGTCGGTTTTCGCTTGTAAGTCTTCGATTTTGTGTGACATCAAACATGAATCATCCACGCGCGAAATCCAGGTCTTCTAGGTTCTTCACGTCGGTCAGTCCATGATATCCCTGTCCCGTTTCTCGTTTCCCACTGTCTGATGCATAATCCAGCCAGTCCACCACAATTAGGAATATCATTGGTGATAATAAGCCAGCACCCTTGTCTGACTCCTGTGTTTACTGCAAACGCCTCTCTGAGTTTTCCGTTGTGGATCACTTGACATGTGCCGTGTACTTGACTTTAATGACTCCATTTCCGTGTAGTATGAGAAATTAGATTGTGACTGATAAACAGGCATTACTTAGACACATGGTATGTACTTCATTGATCTACAATTATTTCATTTGAAAACAGAGACTTAACAGTTAAACTTTGATAAAAATCATTCAAAACCACTGAATTATTACGTCATTCGTGATCCAGGTTTTTCAGACAAAGATTCATTAAATATTTTTGAAAATAATTTCTTTTAATCCAAAAACGTCTGAAAGCGGTCAGTGCATGAATATTTTGAAAAAAATTAATAAGTCTGGATGAGAAAAAGATAAGTGCTATAGCACAGATTATCTAATCTTTATCAAATGTTTTCGTTGTTCATGAAATTGTATTTGCCTACTGATGTCTGCTGACTTGTAAGATGCCCGATGGTTTCGAACAAATGGAAATGGGTGTCATTTTCGATTTAGTGATGAATTCATTCCTTGAATTGCCAGGAATGTTGGTAGTTATGTCCGAAGTATCAAGTTTCACCACATTTCTTTTCCATTTCTCTTAACAACTTGTAAATGAAATGTCAAATGTTACTTTTTAAATTCAAACGTTTTCCGTGAAACTTTAACATATGTAAACTGGATGTATTCCACTCACAACAGGTGATCTGTTTCTCTTCCGGAAAAGCTGAGCACTTTGCAAGTAGCTTGAAGTCGCAGTGCCTAGTGAAATGGGTAGTCACGATTGCAGTACTGAAGGGCTTTGCTCCAAACGACTGGTGTGCAGATCACTTTAATATGGCTGACTAATATCAATCTTTCAAGTATTGGTTTTGTAAGGATTTTGTTTGATTGGATGGAGGATTTCATCAAGAGCTGACATCAGTTAGAGAAACATTGGAAAACCTGGGAGCACTGGACACCTGTTTCATCCTAGTTTGGGACTCTTCAGAAGTAGGCACCCACCGGGATTCGAGCCCAGGGCCTTCTGGTTACAAGGCGAGCTCGTAGACCATTGAGCCACTGGGGCCCGATTCAATGGTCCTTGAATTCTAACTTCTGTCAATCAATCTGTAATATATTTTATGCTAGTTGTTTTGATAATTTTCATGTAACTTACCTCGGTGATGTTCTGAAAACTATGCAGATTATCTGAAAAAATTGTGAAACTTAACAAGCCTGGTTTCTGATCTACTGTCAAATATCAAACAATAAAATTATTTAATCATCACTATCATTTAGCTAGTAATAAATACTGAAATAATTATGCCTTATTTATTCTGTTGAAGATAGATAGAATTCACATTTAACAGTCGCTAAACAGTCACTGGATATCGGTTTAACTACAGTGAAAGAAACTGGAGTTTAAGGTGAAGATGACTGTGAAGATTCCTTAAGTTTCAATGCGCTGATACTCAACATTCCCTAAGTGACAGATTTTTTACTTCAATGTGATTAAAACTACTTAAAGTGCAACAATAATTTCGAAAAAAGTGTCTACATCTTTCTTTGTAAAATGTTATTCAATTAATTTAAAAGTTAAAGAATAAAAATAATGTGAAGAAACTAGTTTTAAATAATGTTGTAATCTATCATATTCAATACTCACAGTCTCATAGAGATCAGTTCTGAGTCCATCTTTAACACCTGGGAAACATTAGCTCATATTATCGTATTAACGGTTGATCATCTCTCTCTTTCCCATAGGTAGTATTATTTATCGGCGTAATGCATATAAATTTAAAAAAGAGTTTCTTTGTGAAGAATTTATTTAGAATATAAGCCTACCTGCATCAAGCAACTATCATGCATATTTTAGCCTACGGTATATTAAATAATAATAGTAAATCTTTATTTCAGACATGTGAACATATATTACAGAAATTTTCAGTGTATTTAGTCCCGAAATATTTCCTCTTCATAGAGCACTTACGTGTAAAGCAATAATCTAAAGTACATCATGGTGAAGTTCAACAATAGCGTCTCAGGAGTGCGAACGCTCCAATGACCTTGAACGCATGCTAGTCGTTGGCTAACAGCGTCTGTCATTATCATAACTGAAATATCAACGCTGTTCACCAGATAAGCAGCAAATTTCACTCAGATCAGGTTTTTAAGTACTGTTTTGACAATGTGTTATTAGCTTGTTAGGATTAGGGTTAGAATCAGGGTTATAATTAGCATTAGGGTTAGAATTACGGTTTGGACAAGGGTTATTATTAGAGTTAGGATTCAGGTTATGGTTATGACTAAAGATAGATTTATAGTTGATGTCATTTATTTTAATTTGTTTTATTATCCACGTTTTCCTGGTAAGTAGTCGTCTATCCTCTTGCTGGAAACCATAATAATTCAGCCGAGGACTTTATCAGAAGACGGCAAGCAGGATGAGAGAGATAAACGATTCACAAAAAACAGTTTATTTGTAGTCATCACGGTGAATACATGTACATAAACTAGTCTAACTTAGCAAATGATACTCCTCATTGTAACTAGGACGTATTCTTAAGTCATGTCAAAGAAAGATAACCTGTTTAATGCGTTTTCAAGCATTTTCTTGTCAATATACATCATTTTTTGAGCAAACATTCATCATTTTTATGATTGGTCAGCTGAAGGTCTCTTGTGCGTTCGCACTCTTGGGACGCTATTATTAAACTTTGCCTACATCATTGGTCGTAGTGCTGCTGCAAATGAGGAAAGAACCAATTCTGTACGGTTTTCCTTCAGTTTCTTCGAAAATTTCACAGTGTATAGTGGGAAACTAATTAAATATTTGTGCGAGTCCATATATCGAACATTCGACATAACAGCACTATTAAAACAATTAGAAGTTCAGAAGAGTTCAAGAATTTTGATGGATAAAAGGTCTGGTAGTTCATTGATTTAAGTAGGCCGCGGATATAGTAGTCAACCATTGCCTTACCTAGTGCGTTGGTGGCACAGTGGTTAGGACGCTCGCCGACTATGCGCATGGTCCCGGGTTCGATCTCCGGCCGGCGCACTCCTCTGCCTCACTAACCCAGAAGTAAAAGCTGGTGAATAGGAAAGGTTGGTCATGAGGCTAGCAACCTCATCCTGTAAAAGTAAACACTGCTACAGAAACTTCAAGCCACTAGCTTGAAGTCCTATGTTCCACTGAAGAACGTGAAGGAAAAAAATTATTAGTTTATGCGAATCATCCAGGAAATCTTTATAATTTACTTTTAGTCATAAAGTCATTCAAGAAAATTTCAGATTTAAATTCTACGGTAAGAAGGCATTTCGTCACTGGTAGTATTTGGTCTATTTAACTATTCCCTGTGTGATTCTGTTTAGCGTTCTCAGACTGAAGTCATCCGGACACATCAAAATCTTTTGTGTATCTCCATATCAAAGTTTTTCCACTTGGACGTTATATGTATTTGAATTTGCTAGCCAACATTACGGAATTATTCTTATTTCATTTTTTGCCTGTTGTTAAAGGATACAGTCTGTACCTTTTT